GATGTATATGGTCTAGGGTTCATGGTCCTGTGGGTGTATATGGTCTAGGGTACATGGTCCTGTGGATGTATATGGTCTAGGGTTCATGGTCCTGTGGGTGTATATGGTCTAGGGTTCATGGTCCTGTGGGTGTATATGGTCTAGGGTACATGGTCCTGTGGGTGTATGGTCTAGGGTACATGGTCCTGTGGATGTATATGGTCTAGGGTTCATGGTCCTGTGGGTGTATATGGTCTAGAGTACATGGTCCTGTGGGTGTATATGGTCTAGGGTTCATGGTCCTGTGGGTGTATATGGTCTAGGCGGGTACATGGCCACGTTACGGCTGCGCGCTGCCGTCTTGTTGTCAAAGCGGCCGCAGCTGCTCCAAAAGGCTGCAGCCATGGAGGATGTGGAATCCTGTCATGCCCCCCTCGAACATTTCAGAACAGATTGACACATTTCTAAAAAATATCTTTTTGTATGAGGCTCACAGGCCGGCCCAAATATGGGCATTGGCCCTTTGGGCACTGCCCGGTACGCCCGACGACCAGTCCACCCCTGTGAGTCATGGATATACAGTGCCTTGCGAAAGTATTCGGCCCCCTTGAACCTTTCAACATTTCGCCACATTTCAGGCTTCAAACATAAAGATATAAAAATATTTTTTTTTGTCAAGAATCAACAACAAGTGGGACACAATCGTGAAGTGGAACGAAATGTATTGGATAATTTTAACTTTTTTAACAAATAAACAACTGAAAAGTGGGGCGTGCAATATTATTCGGCCCCCTTGCGCTAATACTTTGTAGCGCCACCAGACTGGAATTCTTTCCCATTCTTCCTTGCAAAACAGCTCGAGCTCAGTGAGGTTGGATGGAGAGCGTTTGTGAACAGCAGTCTTCAGCTCTTTCCATAGATTCTCGATTGGATTCAGGTCTGGACTTTGACTTGGCCATTCTAACACCTGGATACGTCTATTTGTGAACCATTCCATTGTAGATTTGGCTTTATGTTTTGGATCATTGTCCTGTTGGAAGATAAATCTCCGTCCCAGTCTCAGGTCTTTTGCAGACTCCAACAGGTTTTCTTCCAGAATGGTCCTGTATTTGGCTCCATCTATCTTTCCATCAATTTTAGCCATCTTCCCTGTCCCTGCTGAAGAAAAGCAGGCCCAAACCATGATGCTGCCACCACCATGTTTGACAGTGGGGATGGTGTGTTCAGGGTGATGAGCTGTATTGCTTTTACGCCAAACATATCGTTTTGCATTGTGGCCAAAAAGTTCGATTTTGGTTTCATCTGACCAGAGCACCTTCTTCCACATGTTTGGTGTGTCTCCCAGGTGGCTTGTGGCAAACTTTAAACAAGACCTTTTATGGATATCTTTGAGAAATGGCTTTCTTCTTGCCACTCTTCCATAAAGGCCAGATTTGTGCAGTGCACGACTGATTGTTGTCCTATGGACAGACTCTCCCACCTCAGCTGTAGTTATCTGCAGTTCATCCAGAGCGATCATGGGCCTCTTGGCTGCATCTCTGATCAGTCTTCTCCTTGTTTGAGATGAAAGTTTGGAGGGACGGCCGGGTCTTTGTAGATTTGCAGTGGTCTGATACTCGTTCCATTTCAATATAATTGCTTGCACAGTGCTCCTTGATATGTTTAAAGCTTGGGAAATCTTTTTGTATCCAAATCCGGCTTTAAACTTCTCCACAACAGTATCTCGGACCTGCCTGGTGTGTTCCTTTGTCTTCATGGTTCTCTCTGCGCTTTAAACAGAACCCTGAGACTATCAAAGAGCAGGTGCATTTATACGGAGACTTGATTACACACAGGTGCATTCTATTTATCATCATCAGTCATTTAGGACAACATTGGATCATTCAAAGATCCTCACTGAACTTCTGGAGTGAGTTTGCTGCACTGAAAGTAAAGGGGCCGAATAATATTGCACGCCCCACTTTTCAGTTTTTTATTTGTTAAAAAAGTTTAAATTATCCAATAAATTTCATTCCACTTCATGATTGTGTCCCACTTGTTGTTGATTCATGCCAAAAAATTAAAATGTTATATCTTTATGTTTGAAGCGTGAAATGTGGCGAAATGTTGAAAGGTTCAAGGGGGCCGAATACTTTCGCAAGGTACTGTATAAACCTAACATTGAGGAGACACTGAGGACCGCGGACCACATGTTGATCACCTCTCAGACGCAGTGGAAGCACAAAGCACATGCAGCTGTGTCGACTTTATTTGATTGATTTTGGTAAAACTTCAAACCTGCACAAAATAAACATCTCTGACAACACTCTTTTGTTCAGACCCGACTTATGAACAGCTTATTATTAAATTAATTAGGGTCATTAGCTCTTAATTCGAATTTATTAAACACTTCACATATGAGTCTTTCCCATGTGGGTAAGGGTTACACAAATTAGTAAATAATAATAATAATAATAAATAACACTTAATTAGCTGTTAATTAGTGAGGGCTAATGTATTACCAAACTTTTTTATTGTGACTTTGGATGAGAAGAAGTAAATACTCCCTGAATGAAAAAGACTGCACTTTATTATAATGAAATCCATCCATCCATCCATTTTCTACCCTTTAATCCATTTCTGGGTCAGGGGGGTGGCAATCAGAGATGCCACCCAAGTCTCATAGCACCAGCCCCTCACTGACCCTCTGCAGGTGGTGAGTCCACAGGAGGGCGGCTGCTCTCTGAGTGTGAGCATAGCCTTGATTTTTTCAGCGGGCGCTTTTGGGCAAAGTGGGGTTAAGTGTCTTGCCCAAGGACACAACGACAGCAGTCATCAGTGGGAGTCGATGGAGAAGGTGCAGAGGTGGGAAATGAACCCACGACCTTCTGGCCTTAAGGCCAATGCTCTACCAACTGAGCTACTGTCGCTACTTTCATTATAATGAAATGGTTTGTTTTAAGGTCACAGTGACATAACAGACGATGGATCCTCTCTGTCTTAAATCTTCTCCATTTAGCAACGAAAGGTTTGTGGTTAGAACATCTGACGATAAAGAAGGCTCTGTTCTCTGGATTAAAGATGTGTCGATACCTTTGCAGACAGTTGTGTAACTCTGAGCTCAGGTTGTGTTGGTGCATTGGGCTGAATTGGGAAGATGTCTTGCGATATTGCAGCACTTTCTCCTTGAGTTCTCCATGAATTCTTTGTGTCCTCTCCGTCAAACCCTTTGGCTTCACTTCCTGGAGTTCAATGCTGTATTTAATGGAGTGACGCACATTTGTGGTGAAGTGTTCAATAATTATTAGCTGGATTGAATCAAAGCCTCTGATTACATCTTACTGTGGTCTGAACTAAATGAACTGTGATCCAGCTGTTGAGTTTCACTTTATGCATTTTCCAAAGGGCCATATGTGCCACTGGAGGAATATAAAACAACACCAGATCCTCTCACTGCATCAGTTATCAGCTCCGCCACTGACCTACATCCACAGCTTCTCTGTTGTTACGTGGAGAAAAATGTAGCTGCAGACACAAACTCTCCAAACACTATCTTCAGATCATAAAACCACATTAGAAACATGTGCAAGAGTCCAGTGAGCAGCAGACAAGGACAGGATTAAAACAAGCTGAAAAGTACTGATACAATCAACAAAAACAGCTTCAATACAATGAAGTAGGGCTGGGCAATAAATCGAATTTTGGCAATTAATCGGCTTTTGAAAAAATCGAATTTGTAAAAAATGTGAAAATCGTGAAATCGAATGAGGGATATTGTGAGAGTTCCAGCAGCACATCAATTATACTTGCGATATCAACACAGTCTGTACTACACTTTAATATTATGTATTGGGGGAAATAAATGAAAAATAGTTTTGAAACTTAAATATTGAGCGGGAAGATAACAAATATTTTAAGGGCAAAGTTTGTCTTGAGTGACTTTAATGAAAATCGATTTAAAATCATCATCCAAAGCAGGAAATAAAATCGAGATTTTACTTTTTTGCCATATCGCCCAGCCCTACAATGGCAAGATCATTAAAGTGCTCTGTTCAGATTGAACAGCTGAAAGCAGCTGTTAGCATGTTAGCTATATGATATGGTATGGTATGGTATGGTATGGTATGTACTTTATTTGAGCAGGGACAGTGTACAATTAAACATTAACACAAAGGAGAGATGTATTGTGCCAGGTCATAGCAAATATGCTAATTTCCACCTGTCGTCCCTGGGCATGCTGATGTTATATTCATTTAAACAGATTCTAATGGCGATAGATACATACATGACCGTGTCTTACATATAGACTTTAAATAATATCATTCACAAAACATTTAATTTAATACCAATCAAAAATACAGTTCCCCAACTTCTACTAAAATATTTCCCTCACTCACTCATGTCACATAATGTCTGCTTGTTGGGACTCTGTGAATTATAAACACTTTTTTATTAACACAATAAAAAAAATTGTTATGTGCAATAAGTAGCTTCACGATTGTTTAATAACATCAATCACATATATTTAATCTTCATTGCACAAAACCTTTTTGACAAACCCCAAAGTGGCATCTTTTGGGCGACTTTTTGTGCTAAAATACTCAACCACACTCCCTTTCTCTCCCTTCGTCCCTTTGTGCTAAAATACTCAACCACACTCCCTTTCTCTCCCTTCGTCCCTTTGTGCTAAAATACTCAACCACACTCCCTTTCTCTCCCTTCGTCCCTTTGTGCTAAAATACTCAACCACACTCCCTTTCTCTCCCTTCGTCCCTTTGTGCTAAAATACTCAACCACACTCCCTTTCTCTCCCTTCGTCCCTTTGTGCTAAAATACTCAACCACACTCCCTTTCTCTCCCTTCGTCCCTTTGTGCTAAAATACTCAACCACACTCCCTTTCTCTCCCTTTGTCCCTTTGTGCTACAATAACATTATGACTATGATGATTATATTACTGAGTGATCCCATACGACCCAGTTTCTCTTGGATGTCTTCCATGTTTTAGAAGTTCCACAAACCAAAATAAATAATCCTCCTGTTGTTATTGGTGTGAGGAGGAGAGTGGGTGAAGAGTGAGGAGAGGAATGAGGAGTGAGGAGAGGGGGTGAAGAGTGAGGGAGAGGAATGAGGAGTGAGGAGAGGAGTCGAATAAGGAGAGGGGGTGGTGAGGAGTGAGGAGAGGGGGTGATGAATGAGGAGAGGGGGTGAGGAGTGAGGAGAGGGTGTGAGGAATGAGGAGAGGGGGTGAGGAGTGAGGAGAGGGGGTGAGGAGTGAGGAGAGGGGGTGAGGAATGAGGAGAGGGGGTGAGGAGTGAGGAGAGGGTGTGAGGAATGAGGAGAGGGGGGTGAGGAGTGAGGAGAGGGGGTGAGGCATGAGGAGAGGGGGTGAGGAGTGAGGAGAGGGGGTGAGGAGTGAGGAGAGGGGGTGAGTAGAGGGGGTGAGGAGTGAGGAGAGGGGGGTGAGGAGTGAGGAGAGGGGGTGAGGAGTGAGGAGAAGGGGTGAGGAATGAGGAGAGGGAGTGAGGAATGAGGAGAGGGGGTGAGGAGTGAGGAGAGGGGGTGAGGAGTGAGGAGAGGGGGTGAGGAATGAGGAGAGGGGGTGAGGAGTGAGGAGAGGGGGTGAGGAGTGAGGAGAGGGGGTGAGGAGTGAGGAGAGGGGGTGAGGAGTGAGGAGAGGGGGTGAGGAATGAGGAGAGGGGGTGAGGAGTGAGGAGAGGGGGTGAGGAGTGAGGAGAGGGGGTGAGGAGTGAGGAGAGGGGGTGAGGAGTGAGGAGAGGGGGTGAGGAGTGAGGAGAGGGGGTGAGGAATGAGGAGAGGGGGTGAGGAGTGAGGAGAGGGGGTGAGGAGTGAGGAGAGGGGGTGAGGAGTGAGGAGAGGGGGTGAGGAGTGAGGAGAGGGGGGAGGAGTGAGGAGAGGGGGTGAGGAATGAGGAGAGGGGGTGAGGAGTGAGGAGAGGGGGGTGAGGAGTGAGGAGAGGGGGTGAGGAATGAGGAGAGGGAGTGAGGAGTGAGTAGTAGCAGTGTGACATATATCGATTTTTTGATGTATCGCGATACTTTCTGCCAAGTATCGATTTTGAAAAAAGTAATAATTAAATTAGTGTCAATAATTCATATATACCTGTAGCTACATTACACATCTCCATTCCATTTATCATGAAATAAAGTGTATTTTTTCAATCAATTTTTTTTAATTTTATGTATGCCATATGTTTGCATATGGTATATTGCTGACCAATATATCGATAATCGTCATATCGTGATATAATCGTTATCATGAGCTTTGTATCGCATATCATATCGTTTCATGAGGTACCCGTAGGTTCCCACCCCTAGTGAGGAGGAGAGTACAGTATGTTGTTTGATGCAGTACAGTCCTAAGCTTCCTCTGCATCATTGATCAAAGGAATAAGGCTGTTTTACGATCATCAAATCAATCGTTAGATGGAGCTATTCATCTTTATGTTCTAACTCTTCACACGGCCTTTCTACAGTAGAGTTAAGGAACGTTTCCATGACAACCAGCTCAGTTTGTTATTGGCTTTGTCTGTTTGGGCGTAACCTACAACAGTATAAGCTCATGTGTACCTGTGAGTCTCGGATGTCTGATGTCATGTTCTGAAGACAATAGATAAAGACCGTTGTCGAGGCCGCGGCCCTCTGTTTGTGAAGCGTCCGGTGATTCTTTCAACAGCTTTTCATGTTGCCAAAACAAACTAAGCTATATGTTGTTTGAAATTTCAGACTTCACTTTGTTTGTTTAATTTAGACCTGTGTGAGGATCTGTCTCCTCTGTCTCCTCTGTCTCCTCTGTCTCCTCTGTCTCCTCAGTCTACCCAGTCTACCCAGTCTCCTCTGTCTCCTCTGTCTCCTCTGTCTACCCAGTCTCCTCTGTCTCCTCTGTCTCCTCAGTCTCCTCTGTCTCCTCTGTCTCCTCTGTCTCCTCAGTCTCCTCTCCCTTTGTGTCCTCTGTCTCTATATTTCCTCTTCCTCGGTCTCCTCAGTCTCCTCTGTCTCTTCTATGTCCTCTTCTTCAGTCTTCTCAGTCTCCTCTGTCTCTTCTGTCTCCTCCCCCTCAGTCCCCTCATGTCTCCGCTGTCTCCCCTGTGTCCTTTCTATCGCTCAGGTTCTTACTCTTTTGGTGGATGTAGTTTCCATGGCAACATTTACATAAGCACTTTCCTCAACCCACTGCCTCAGATTGTAAAACAGTCACAGGTCAAGGTGAGTTCTGTTCTAGAGGAAGAATGCTGGTTAAATCTGAGCTTGTTTTCTGCCCAAAACATAAACCTTAACACCTTAAAAACTGTGAAGTCACCAATCTTGAACAATTCTGCTGGAGAGACTGTGGTGAAACACAGGCAGACCATGTGCATATACTGTACACATGCCCAAAAATTCAGACCTACTGGAATCAGGTCATACAAATGATCAAACATACCTGTGGACAAAATGTTTGCATGAAACCAAAACACCTCTTGCTTGGTATCCAGCCAAACGGTCTGGAGGAAAAACACCACTACATCTTTTTTACCCTAAGAATAACAGCCATCAAACAATTAACAAGATATTGGAAGAAAACTGAAATTCCCACTATAGCGACTTGGCATGAACTCATTATGCAAATATACAACATGGAAAAAAAGAAATGTAGTCATCTAAGGACATATGAATATCATATATAAATAAATTCCAACAAAAATAAAAACGAGAACATGACAAATAGGATAAAATGATGAATAAAGAATCAAATATTATATAATAAATATGACACTAGACTTAACTATTTGGATATTTGGATATGTGTATTTATGTATATGTGTATATGTATGTATGTGTATGTATGTGTGTATGCATGTATGTATGTGTATATATATATATATATATATATCCATCCATCCATTTTCTACCCTTTAATCCATTTCTGGGTCAGGGGGGTGGCAATCAGAGATGCCACCCAGGTCTCATAGCACCAGCCCCTCACTGACCCTCTGCAGGTGGTGAGTCCACAGGAGGACGGCTGCTCTCTGAGTGTGAGCATAGCCTTGATCGTTCAGTGGGGGCTTTGGGCAAAGTGGGGTTAAGTGTCTTGCCCAAGGACACAACGACAGCAGTCATCAGTGGGAGTCGGTGGAGAAGGTGCAGAGGTAGGAATTGAACCCACGACCTTCAGGCCTGAAGGCCAATGCTCTACCAACTGAGCTACTGTCGCCCCCATATATATATATATATATATATATATATATATATATATATATATATATACAGTGCCTTGCGAAAGTATTCGGCCCCCTTGAACCTTTCAACATTTCGCCACATTTCAGGCTTCAAACATAAAGATATAAAAATTATTTTTTCTGTCAAGAATCAACAACAAGTGGGACACAATCGTGAAGTGGAACAAAATGTATTGGATAATTTAAACTTTTTTAACAAATAAAACTGAAAAGTGGGGCGTGCAATATTATTCGGCCCCCTTGCGCTAATACTTTGTAGCGCCACCTTTTGCAGCAATTACAGCTGCAAGTCGCTTGGGGTAAGTCTCTATCAGTTTTGCATATCGAGAGACTGGAATTCTTGCCCATTCTTCCTTGCAAAAAACAGCTCGAGCTCAGTGAGGTTGGATGGAGAGCGTTTGTGAACAGCAGTCTTCAGCTCTTTCCACAGATTCTCGATTGGATTCAGGTCTGGACTTTGACTTGGCCATTCTAACACCTGGATCCGTCTATTTGTGAACCCTTCCATTGTAGATTTGGCTTTATGTTTTGGATCATTGTCCTGTTGGAAGATAAATCTCCGTCCCAGTCTCAGGTCTTTTGCAGACTCCAACAGGTTTTCTTCCAGAATGGTCCTGTGTTTTGCTCCATCCATCTTCCCATCAATTTTAGCCATCTTCCCTGTCCCTGCTGAAGAAAAGCAGGCCCAAACCATGATGCTGCCACCACCATGTTTGACAGTGGGGATGGTGTGTTCAGGGGGATGAGCTGTGTTGCTTTTACGCCAAACATATCGTTTTGCATTGTGGCCAAAAAGTTCGATTTTGGTTTCATCTGACCAGAGCACCTTCTTCCACATGTTTGGTGTGTCTCCCAGGTGGCTTGTGGCAAACTTTAAACAAGACTTTTTATGGATATCGTTGAGAAATGGCTTTCTTCTTGCCACTCTTCCATAAAGGCCAGATTTGTGATTCCCACCACAGCTGTAGTTATCTGCAGTTCATCCAGAGTGATCATGGGCCTCTTGGCTGCATCTCTGATCAGTCTTCTCCTTGTTTGAGATGAAAGTTTGGAGGGACGGCTGGGTCTTGGTAGATTTGCAGTGGTCTGATACTCCTTCCATTTCAATAATTGCTTGCACAGCGTCCTTGAGATGTTTAAAGCTTGGGAAATCTTTTTGTATCCAAATCCGGCTTTAAACTTCTCCACAACAGCATCTCGGACCTGCCTGTGTGTGTTCCTTTGTCTTCATACAATACAATACAATACAATTTATTCTTGTATAGCCCTATAGGTCACAACAAAAGTCATCTCAGAGGACTTAACAAAACCATTGAAATCACCAACACAGGTCAGAGAATCAACAATTAAAACACATGAAGAATATAAAGCACACACAGAAGAAAATGTCCATACATGTTGTAGAATGCTAAAGTGTCCTGATCATCACCAATCCTTTCTGTTGGACACTAACTGTCCAACAAGACCCTCCTGCATCGAAAAGGAAAAACTCTTAAAAAACCCAGTGGGAAAAAGTGAGAAACCTTGGGGAGAACTAGGGAAACCCACAGGGAGGGAGACCCATATGAGGAAGGGATCCGCTCCTCCGGACGGACAGGCTAATGATCTAGGACCTAAGCTAGCTACAGAACGTGGACCAGTGGCCGCTGAACGTGGACAGGTCCGGTGCAGGACTGAAGCACTCACAGGCGGGTCGGGCGGGGCAGTCCGCAGGTGTAGATGGAGGAGGCCAGGCTCAGAGATCCCGTCATCGTACCATGAAACAGACTATGGGACAACGGGTGAATAGCAATGAACAAACTACAGTCAGAATCCTAAAAGTGCTAAACAGATAAAGTAGATAAAGTAGGAAGGAGGAGAGGATAGTGCTCAAGTTACCATACTTCTCCCAGCAAACTGACTCCCTATGCAGCTTGACTGACAGTCTGAGGAGTTTAGCCTTCCCTGAGTCTTACCTTCCTAATCATATGCTAAACTAAAGAGGACTGTTTTAAACCTAGCCTTGAATAAAGAGAGCGTATCTGAAAGGAGGCGAGACAGCAGCAGCCACGGCTAGGCTAGCCTAGGTTACAGCACCAAGATTCATGGATTGCACACCAGGTGTGCAAATCGATCCAAGCAAACCTAATTATATATTATACATATACAACATAACACAATACATAACATAATATATAACATAATACAGCATATATATATAATATATACACCATATATTATATATTACCTAATTATATGCTAAATTAAAGTAGAGTGCTTTAAGCCTGGCCTTGAATGTGGAGACCGTATCTGCTTCCTTAACATAAATGGGAAGCTGATTCCACAGTAAAGGAGCTTGGTAGCTAAATGCTCTGCCACCAACAGTGATTTTTGAGACCTTAGGAACCACCAGACGTCATGGTTCTCTCTGCGCTTTAAACAGAACCATGAGACTATCAAAGAGCAGGTGCATTTATACGGAGACTTGATTACACACAGGTGCATTCTATTTATCATCATCAGTCATTTAGGACAACATTGGATCATTCAAAGATCCTCACTGAACTTCTGGAGTGAGTTTGCTGCACTGAAAATAAAGGGGCCGAATAATATTGCACGCCCCACTTTTCAGTTTTTTATTGGTTAAAAAAGTTTAAATTAGCCAATACATTTTCGTTCCACGATTGTGTCCCACTTGTTGTTGATTCATGACAAAAAATTACAATTTTATATCTTTATGTTTGAAGCCTGAAATGTGGCGAAATGTTGAAAGGTTCAAGGGGGCCGAATACTTTCGCAAGGCACTGTATGTGTATATATATGTATATATATATATATATATATATATATATATATATATATATATATATATATATATATATATATATATATATATATTTTTTGTTGTAACTAACAACATATTTCACATGGGTGCTCTAAAAATGTATATGTGTATATGCTCAACTGAACCATACATATGTAAAAAAAAAAATAATAATATTGTTCTTTGTTTACAAAGTTTGTACATTCACAGTGCAAAATAAAGACACAATAAAGTATTTTTAAAAAAAACTGTGAAGTCAAATAACGTAAAAATTGCCACAAGCAGATTATGTTCTTCTGCTCTCTGTGGAGCGGCTCAGTCTGTAGAATGCTTCAGTCTCACCAAACCACAAATGACAGAGGGTTCAGAGGATTCAGACTGATGTGTAGATGATTGTGGATGTTGTTGCAGGCAGCACGATGGGAGCACCGCACACGCCGCCTCTCTGCTCTGTGTGGAAGTCCGTATGTGGCCTGTTACAGTCTGGGCTTCACCATCCTCCTGCTAAACGTGTGTCGCAGCCACAGGTGAGACCGACTGCACCAGCTAATGCTAACGCTACTGTTACTGTCATTCTGCTGTGCTACATATGGGACCTGTGTGGTCCTAATGAGCTCTGATATGTTTATGATGCCATATTATGTTTAGATTCTGCGACTATATAAACTTAAGCATCTTTAGTCCTGCTTCTGGGACCAGCAGGAGGCCAGTCCCTGGTCTCCTCAGAGTCCCAGCAGTAGGCCAGTTCCTGTGCTTCTTAGAATCCGGCCATGCAGAGACTTGTTACAGACTTGCGGATGGTTTTTATGGCCTACAGTGTGTATGGCTCGAGCACACAGCCCTGTTACAGATTGTACTCCTTTTCCATTTTTTTGAGAGAAGAAATATTTAGACCTTTATTCACACACATTCAAACACAGCAGTACGGACATTTTCAACACCTCTCTGCAGTCCTGCCATGTCCCGGCCTGCTTCAAATCCTCCATCATTGTCCCCGTCCCAAAGAAGCCCAGGATCACAGGACTCAATGACTACAGACCTGTGGCACTTACGTCTGTCGTCATGAAGTCATTTGAACGCCTGGTTCTCTCCCATCTCAAGTCCCTCACCTCCCCCCTCCTGGACCCCCTGCAGTTCGCCTACAGAGCCAACAGATCTGTAGACGACGCCATTAACCTGGCCCTCCACCACATCCTACAGCACCTGGACTCCCCGGGGACCTACGCCAGGGTCCTGTTCGTGGACTTCAGCTCTGCCTTCAACACAATCCTGCCATCCCTGCTCCAGGACAAGCTCTCCCAGCTCAACGTGCCCGATCCCACCTGCAGGTGGATCACTGACTTCCTGACGGACAGGAAGCAGCGAGTGCGTCTGGGGAAGAATGTCTCGGACTCTCGGTTTATAAATACAGGAGCCCCACAGGGCTGTGTTCTTTCTCCCCTGCTCTTCTCCCTGTACACCAACCACTGCACCTCCAGCCACGACTCTGTGAAGCTGATCAAGTTCGCGGACGACACCACCCTCATTGGACTCATCTCCAACAACGATGAGTCCGCCTACAGGAGGGAGGTGGACCGGCTGGTGTCCTGGTGCAGTGGTAACAACCTGGAGCTGAACGCCCAGAAGACAGTGGAGATGATTGTGGACTTCAGGAAGAGCACTGTCCCCCCGCCCCCACCCTCCGTGATGGACTCCCCCATCACCTCTGTGGAGTCCTTTCGTTTCCTGGGCACCACCATCACCCAGGACCTCAAGTGGGAGCCGACCATCAGCTCCCTCATCTAGAAGGCCCAGCAGAGGATGTACTTCCTGCGGCAGCTCAGGAAAGCCAAGCTGCCTGCACAGATGTTGGTGCAGTTCTACACGGCCATCATCGAGTCCATCCTCACCTCCTCCGTCACCGTGTGGTTCGCTGGAGCCACAGTCAGGGACAAACAGAGACTACAGCGCATTGTGCGCTCTGCAGAGGAAGTGATCGGCCGCAGCCTTCCATCGCTGCAGGACCTGTACGTTGCCCGAGCTCGAGGTCGTATCACAGCCGACCCCTCTCACCCTGCACATGGACTATTCCATCCACTCCCCTCAGGCAGGAGGCTGCGGTCCATCAGGACTAGAACCTCCCGCCACATGAACAGTTTCTTCCCCTCTGCTGTTGGACTCTTGAACACTTCTTAACCTGTCCCCCCGCCCTTTATAAAGTCACTTTACTGCCCATCATACGTCACTTTACTTCACTGTACTGCTGTCACCTTACATTGTGTGCACCATGTGCACTTGTATATTGTAAATAGTAACTGTAACTCTATTTTAAATTTAAATTTATTCTGTAGAAGTGTTTTTTTATTCTTATTTTTATTATCTCTTTTTGACTGTTGCACTGAGCCAAAGCAATTTCCTAGTCTGTGACCTCCTGTTACTTACGTGGCAATAAAAATGATTCTGATTCTGATTCTGATTCTGAAAACTGATCTGGATCTGTGTTTGGGCTGGGCGAAACATCGTCAATGAAGATGCAGGTCCGTGTGAGGAATTGCACACAAAAAAGACGGAAGACACTGGAAAACAGCCAAAACAGGAGCTAAACCAGGACTAAACCGGAATTAAACCAGGACGGACTATGGTGGACATCGTGCTCGTGAATGCAGGTTCTCATGCTGTTGTGACTGTGAACAGTTGCTGCTAACATGTTCGCCGACACGACTAATATATTTATTTAGTTTTAAAAAACAAATAAATAATTATGGATATTGGCCGATATGAAACACTTATGTCATATAGTTTTCAGCCATATCACCCAGCCTTAATCTGTGTCTTTGAATGCTTCGATCAGCATTATTTATTATTTGTTACAGTATGTACAGTAGAGGTGGGAATGAAAAGGTGATTCATATATTTTGGAATATTCTGTATTTTTATGTTCTTTTTATAGCTCCTTTGAGGAGCTATAGGGTGTGGTGAGGTCCTGGTAGCTCCTGTAGCTCCTGGCTGCAGGTTGGTGGCCCCTGTTCTAACATACAGTACTGTCTCTATTTGCAGCATGACGGTGGCCATGAAGAGCCAACCCCGCTGTGAGGCCCTGGAGCGGCCGGAGGTCTACTACACAGGGGTGGTCCTCATGGTGGGGGGCACTGTGCTGGTAGTCTCCAGTTTCTTAGCTCTGGGCTTCACTGGAACCTTCCTCGGTCAGTCCCACACACAGAAGGTTCCTTTAGTCATTATGGTTTGCTGTAGCTGGTGGTCCGGGTTGGGGGGTGGGCTTCAAGCAGTGGAGTACGTGTCTTCTGAAGCTTTATCCACCCAAAAATAAATGCCATGAATACAGGACACTGAACCTATTCTGAAAGACACCTTCACCTCAATAAAGGATCAATGTTAGAAGAGAAAAGTAGGAATGAATTTAGTCCAATATAATAGAGTGATATAATGATTTAGTGTTGTGTATGACATAAGGCCTGTGTATACTTGGGCGTCACTGGTTGCATTGGAGTTTGGGCTGAACCCGTGGTTCATTACGCGGCCACAGTTTGACCACTCGAGCGTGCCCCGGTGCATAGTTGTGAAGAGAATGTTGAACCCCCACACCGATCCACATGATCTCACAGGAGTTGCCTGGGACACCAAAGGGTCTCATTAAAAAGTTATGCTAGTTACTTTAGAACAAAAACAATGTCAAACCAAGCTGCTTGAGCTCAGGCGTAGGTTTATGTGACAGTCCCATTGTTTCATAACTATTTTCAACTGTGATGCTGTGAATAAAGACACAGTTATTGTTGGAAACATAGTTATTAAAGTGAATTTGTGCACAAACAGCAAAACAATAAGTGTTAAATGTCTGGGACCAAACATGAACTATTTACAAGTGCAGGATGAATGCAACACTCACGATAAGAAACAAGTGCAGATTCAAACAAAGACAGGTGCAGGAACAGTGTAAAAGAATAATAATGAGAATAATACAGTTTATAACCCTAACCCTGTTCCAGATGCTCGTCCACAGCCTCCCCGTATATCAGGCTCTGAACCATGAGCCCAAACTGCTTTTTCTTCGGTCCCCTTCAAAGCATGAAGAAATCTACTCCAAGTGCCTCTTCCATGTTCTCCGCAGCCGCTCCATGCTAAGTCTAATAATGAGAGAATGTCTCTGTGGATTGAATGCATCAAAAATATGTACCTACATAACTACTAAACACTGAACGATAATCCCAGAAGATAACACGGCATAGTACACTCTTCTTTTGAATATAAATGGGCTGCCCTCGTTTCAAGGTCAGCTTTACAAGAACTGTCGTAATACAAAGTTATGTCAAATTGTTTTGAAAAAAACACAAATGTCGACAATGAAACCAGGGCTGTCTGCTCCACATGTGAAAAGGAGCGTCCCACTGGGAAGGGGTGCATAACATTTGAATGTCCATTTCCTGTTCTGCTTTAAACCTAAAATGGGTCAAATTACGTATGTTTGGACACAAACGTCATCAAAAACAACAGTCTCACATAAGCTTTCATCTAGTTCACTTCACCGTCACCTTTTTCTCAACGGTTAAATCTACATTCATCACTGAGTTTGGGTAACTCTATGTCATGAAATGGGAAGGAAAATCCAGTCACCGTTATTCAGATTCAGATCCAGATGCAGTTTGTAAATCAAGCTGTGAAACAAGCTGAAAAGTACAGAAACAATCATCTGTGTGAACACAAACAGCTTCAATACAAGATCAAGTGCTTTGTTCAGACCGATAAGAGCTGAAAGAAGCTGTTAGCCTCCTAGCATATCCAAGTGTCCTGAAGCTATCTTCCGATGTCTTTTGCCAAAGGGAAGAAGCTGGAACATGGCTTTTCCAGAGGCCAGAAGAGTAATTGATTATTTTAATAATAATAATACATTGGTTTTATATAGCGCTTTTTTGGACACTCAAATACACTCAAATACACTCCATACACGGTGGTGATAAACTACTACTGTAGCCACAGCTGCCCTGGGGCACACTGACAGAAGCGAGGCAACCAGTATGTGCCATCGGCCCTTCCGACCACCACCAACCATACACACACACAGACTCATTCTAGGCAATGGGGGTGAAGTGTCTTGCCTAATGATACAACGGCAGTTTGGCACTTTACAGCCGCAACCACCCCACTGTGGCTGGTGTTCCCAGAGGATAAGTGTCTTGCCAAGGACACAACAACAGCAGATAGTGGGAGTCGATGGTGAAAGTCGGGCTTGAACCCACGACCCTCTGGCTCAAAGGCCAATGCTCTACCAACTGAGCTACTGTCCGCCTGTTTTAAGAGTTTGGATTCATAAAGGATCTCCAGAACAGACAGCTCATAGTCCTCTTTCAGAGCGGAGCATCTCTCTCTGATATCACTGTCTGGTCTCTCTCTGTGGTCTCTATCTGGTCTCTCTCTGGTCTCTGTCTGGTCTCTCTCTGTGGTCTCTATCTGGTCTCTCTCTGGTCTCTGTCTGGTCTCTCTCTGTGGTCTCTATCTGGTCTCTCTCTGGTCTCTGTCTGGTCTCTCTCTATTGTCTCTGTCTGGTCTCTCTCTATTGTCTCTCTCTGGTCTCTCTCTCTGGTCTCTTTCTGTGGTCTATCTGGTCTCTGTCTGGTATCTCTCTGGTCTCTTTCTCAAGTCTCTCTCTGGTCTGTGTCCTTGGGCAAGACACTTAACCCCACGTTGCCTGAAGCCACTGCTGAAAGAAAAAGGCTGCGTCAAGAAGCCATCTTCCCATGAACCCACCACCTACAGGAGGATCAGCGGGGGACCAATGATATGAGCATTGGGTGGCAGCTCTAATGGCCACCCCCCCAACCCAGAAATGGACTAATAAAGGGGTTAAAAATGAATGAATGAATGAATAACTGACACATGTGGGTTTGAGTTACACTGTATTAATAGTGTTTTGTGGAAGCTGTATGGTCAGTGTGTGTCTGTTCCTCATCAGTGTGTGCTTGTTCCTCATCAGTGTGTGTGTCCCTCATCAGTGTGTGTGTTCCTCAGGTGATTACTTTGGGATCCTGATGGAGGAGAAAGTCACATGTTTCCCCTTTAACCTGATGGAAAACCCCATGTATTGGGGCAGCACGGCCAACTACCTCGGGTTAGCGCTGATGTAAGTTTAGGTTTAACTTAAATCATGTCAGAATTATAAGTAAATTTATATTTAAAGTAGTAATATGTAAGATTTTCATGTCAAGTCATCTTTAAATGGCCTAATATGTCAAAAGGTATTAATAAACCATGCTCTTTTGGAATACGTCTGATAACAGCAGTTCAGCCAAGATATTTGAATTTCAAAATTATTTTCACAGCCTGTAAATCTTGTTTTTGTTTTCATTTCGATGTCCCGCCCTCCACCATTTTATCAATAATAAAGTCTGTGATTCGGATTGCCAGAACTCACTACGGGGAGCTAATTTCACTGCTTAAGTAACATGGCAGTATTAAGGTGCTTTCACACCGCCAACGCTGGAACGCTGACGCCTCGCGCACCAGACGCACATTCTCTAATTTCCCGACGCAGGGGTCTTCAGACCATGAGTCCTGGCTCGCGGTGGCGCGCGCCAGAAGTGGCGGAAGTAGCGGGCAGACTTTGATGCTAACGGAGTCAAGCTTGCGGATCTTCTCCAATAATGCAGCTCTGCAGCGTCTCTGTGTCCAGAGACCTTCCAGAGACTTTATATAACAGTAGTATGTGTTCACAGAGGTCCGCCATACGTTTATTTTATTATTAAACGGTACTTCCGAATCGGCGAACACGCTAAAAGCAGTTGCATAAAGTCACGGGAGCATTATATTATAATAGATCCATGGTAAAACTCAGTAGAGTCTCTGTTCAGGGTGCCGTGCCTGAACGCGGTCTTGTTTACAAGTCGGCTCCACGCGACTGTCAAGTGCCTGAGACGTTTGGAGAGATCCAGTCATTTATCAAACTAAAGTATTCTTTCCTTGGCAGTCTGTGAATGACAGAGTTGTCAAAGACAGTTCTCCTCAACTCAAAGGCTTCCGTACTTTATTGGACTGCAATATAAGATCTCATCTCGGCACTAAAATGGCACTAAAAAATACAAAGTGTACCTTTAACTTAAATAATGTCTAAATGTAAAGGATATGTAAGTTCAACTATAAAACTGTCTGAGTGTACATTATATGTAGCGTCCGTGTAGCATCTGTGTAGACAGATAGACTGATCGATCAAATAAGGAGGAGAGGAACAATACACACCAGAACATGCACAGTGCGGCGCCGGCGACTGTGTCGCACCTGTACAGCATCTGTGTAGCATCTGTGTCGCACCTGCGCAGCATCTGTGTAGCATCTGACACAAACACATCTGACAGTGACAGTCTTCACTTTAGAGAAACAATGGAGTTTTTGTGTGTAGTCTATGGTTTTAGTAACTGCGGCAAAAGCAGTTTTTAAAATATCAAAGGTCTCAAATCAAAGATTATTTTAACAAAATCTAAAGGAGGCTGAGAAATCTGTCTAACACAGAATCTAATTTTCATCTAGTCATTAAGTTAAAAAAGTTATTTTTGATTGTTATTTCCATGACTGGGACTGGGACCAGGATCTATGATTTTTTTCTCTATGATTAAAGAAATCTTATTCATTATTTCAGAAATATAAAAAATGCTCTCTGTTAAATCTGAACATTATTCTGGAAGTGTTTGTTCAGGTCCTAGTTTTAATAATGAGTCCAATAAGTCAATAATCAGTTTAAACTTTGTATTGACGGTGAATTTACCTTGTTACCATGGCGGCGCATGAACATGCTGCGGCTTCTCTCTCTCTTGACAAGGTGACGTTTCTACTCTTTTCTGCAAACTGCATTTGCAGTTTTTGTGATCCGCATTGTTTTGCAAGATGTTGTTGTACATCTTTGCCATGTTTTTGTGGAGTTCAGCGGATTTTTTACTGCCCAAGCTCTTTGCTAGCAATGAACAGAGGATGTGTTTTTAAAAGTAAACACACAGTTAGCATCTGAGCTAAAGGCTTTTTGAGCAGTATTTAAGACCTACAAATCCAGAGCTATCATCTTCTGAAGCGCTGACAGGTCACCGAGGGCCCCACGCATCTGCAGCACAGTGGAGGCGTCACAAGAGGCGCTACAGGAGTCCCGGCCTCCGTTGTGTGCAACTTCTACAGAGGGACTGTAGAGAGCATCCTGACCAGCACTGCCTCCTGCCGAAGGAGCCTCCAGCGCATCGTGAGAGCAGCAGAGAAGATCTGTGGAGCCCCTCTCCCCACCATTAAGGACATGTACTCCATCCGTCTCACCCGCAAAGCCGTCAGAATCATCAGGGACCCTACGCACCCATCACACAGGCTCTTCAGGGTAATGCCTTCAGGGAGGCGACTGCAGAATTTACGGAACAGTTCCAGTCGACTTAAAAAGAGTTTCATTCACAAGGCCATCAGGAAGCTGAACTCCCTGCCCTCCCTCCCACCCCTCTTCCCCCACCCACCCCTCTTCCCCCACCCCTCTTCCCCCCCCCTCTTCCCCCACCCCTCCCTCCCACCCCTCTTCCCCCACCCACCCCTCTTCCCCCACCCCTCCCTCCCACCCCTCTTCCCCCACCCCTCCCTCCCACCCCTCTTCCCCCCCACCCCTCTTCCCCCACCCCTCCCTCCCACCCCTCTTCCCCCACCCACCCCTCTTCCCCCACCCCTCCCTCCCACCCCTCTTCCCCCACCCCCCTTCCCCCACCCCCCTTCCCCCACCCCTCTTCCCCCCCCCCCGCGCCACAATCAAGGATGAGAGAAATATAATTTCAAACCATTCACTTGGTTTGACAAATAAAAATCTTGAAATCTTGAAAATCTTGAATGAGTTTCTAACTTTATGTGTTTTTGGCAGAGGTTCCAGTCCTGTGGGTCTGGTCCTGACGGCTGCTGTGGCTCTGACCTACAAGGTGGCTATACACTATGAAGGGTACGTACTTTTCTAATGTATATAACCAGGTTTTAATCATTATGATTATAACAAGGGGTTAATCTTATGTTTGTAATGAGATTTTAATCATTGTTTTTGTAAGCAGGTTTTAATGAGTTTATTGTCCTGAGGAAATGTGTTTTATGTTGTACTTATTGTAGCAACTGAGACGTCATCAGACAGATCTGAGGAGAGTTTAAGATCTCTGAGTCCTGCTTTAATGTGAATTCTGTAAAGTAGTTTATGTTTGACCTAGATACTGTTTAGTTGAACACACACAGACTGAGGCAGACCGAGACAGAGGCAGATGGAGACAGACAGAATTGGCAGAGGCAGAGACAGACAGAGGCAGAGACAGAGCTATGAACCCTGAGACAGAGACAGACAGAGGCAGAAACAGAGTTATGAACCCTGAGACAGAGACAGACAGAGGCAGAGACAGAGTTATGAACCCTGAGACAGAGACAGACAGAGGCAGAAACAGAGTTATGAACCCTGAGACAGAGACAGACAGAGGCAGAAACAGAGTTATGAACCCTGAGACAGAGGCAGAGACAGAGTTATGAACCCTGAGACAGAGACAGACAGAGGCAGAGACAGAGTTATGAACCCTGAGACAGAGACAGACAGAGGCAGAGACAGAGTTATGAACACAGAGACAGAGACAGACAGAGGCAGAGACAGAGTTATGAACACTGAGACAGAGACATAGTTATGAACACTGAGATAGAGGCAGAGACAGAGACAGACGCTTCACTGAGCGTATGTGTGTGAGTACTGGTACTGAGTGGTACGACTCTTCTCTGATTAATGATGCGTGTCCTGTTTGTTCTCTGTGTTTACAGAGCATTCACAGAGCACATCTATCAGGACAGAAGTCGGCGAAACAAACAGCAGTAATAGCCTCGTTCTAGACACAGTCAGAATGACTGCTCAGGAAGCTTCCTGTGACAGTGGAGAAACAACACCGAGAAATGATACTGTGGAATAATTCTGTTCATTTCAATCAAACAGTAATAAACTGTTATACACACATACGACAGACTGTGTTCATAACTCATGTGTCCATAACTTCCTACTTCATAAATGTTTTGTTGCTGTGTTTTTGTATAAAGTTTTATTCAACAGTAATTTTGTTGATCGAGTGTTACTATATTAAAGCTGTCCCACCCACCGGCGCGGGGGGCGCCCGTGACACTGCAGACTAAATTCATGTTATCCGGAAAAATGTCCCATAGAACTCAGAACAAACAAAAGAGCTGAACACTGCCCCTCTGTGCACGTGCATGAGAGCCACACGTGTGTGCTTGTTAGTATTTTTTAGCAAATCATCATGGGAACTTGTCCACTGCGCAGAACCGGGAGAACCAGAGGATGCCCAAATATGGGCGAGTTCTGCTAATCTTTCGATGCCCTTGGTGGGGCGCCAATGATCTGAACAGGCAGCCATCTTGGATCACTGGGGGTTGGTTTGAAGTTGTTATCATCAGATTCTACAGTTAGGCTTTGAACTTAACTCAACAAAACCTTATTTCTGCAAGATCATTATCATTTCAATTCTTCTTTGATATATATCATCTTTGATGACTTGTGAGGAGGTCTGACCACAGTGACGGCCCTTCCTGGGCTGCTACAGTCTATGGAGGAGATGTAATAGATCCATGGGTTGACCAGACCGTGAAACCAGAGATTAATCTGGTGCAATAGAACACTGTTGTGTGTTTGTGCGCATGTGTGTCTGTGGTTACGTTTACACTGTCATTTTTGACATTACAGTGCCTTGCGAAAGTATGAACCTTTGAACATTTCGCCACATTTCAGGCCTCAAACATAAAGATATAAAAATTAAAAATTTTGTCAAGAATCAACAACAAGTGGGACACAATCGTGAAGTGGAACAAAATTTATTGTATAATTTAAACTTTTTTAACAAATAAAAATAGAAAAGTGGGGCGTGCAATATTATTCGGCCCCCTTGCGCTAATACTTTGTAGCGCCACATTTTGCTGCAATTACAGCTGCAAGTTGCTTGGGGTATGTTTCTATCAGTTTTGCACATCGAGAGACTGGAATTCTTGCCCATTCTTCCTTGCAAAACAGCTCGAGCTCAGTGAGGTTGGATGGAGAGCGTTGGTGAACAGCAGTCTTCAGCTCTTTCCACAGATTCTCAATTGGATTCAGGTCTGGACTTTGACTTGGCCATTCTAACACCTGGATCCGTCTATTTGTGAACCCTTCCATTGTAGATTTGGCTTTATGTTTTGGATCATTGTCCTGTTGGAAGATAAATCTCCGTCCCAGTCTCAGGTCTTTTGCAGACTCCAACAGGTTTTCTTCCAGAATGGTCCTGTATTTGGCTCCATCCATCTTCCCATCAATTTTAGCCATCTTCCCTGTCCCTGCTGAAGAAAAGCAGGCCCAAAGCATGATGCTGCCACCACCATGTTTGACAGTGGGGATGGTGTGTTCAGGGTGATGAGCTGTGTTGCTTTTACGCCAAACATATCGTTTTGCATTGTGGCCAAAAAGTTCGATTTTGGTTTCATCTGACCAGAGCACCTTCTTCCACATGTTTGGTGTGTCTCCCAGGTGGTTTGTGGCAAACTTTAAACGAGACTTTTTATGGATATCTTTGAGAAATGGCTTTCTTCTTGCCACTCTTCCATAAAGACCAGATTTGTGCAGTGCACGACTGATTGTTGTCCTATGGACAGACTCTCCCACCTCAGCTGTAGTTATCTGCAGTTCATCCAGAGTGATCATGGGCCTCTGGGCTGCATCTCTGATCAGTCTTCTCCTTGTTTGAGATGAAAGTTTGGAGGGACGGCCGGGTCTTGGTATATTTGCAGTGGTCTGATACTCCTTCCATTTCAGTATAATTGCTTGCACAGTGCTCCTTGAGATGTTTAAAGCTTGGGAAATCTTTTTGTATCCAAATCCGGCTTTAAACTTCTCCACAACAGTATCTTGGACCTGCCTGGTGTGTTCCTTTGTCTTCATGGTTCTCTCTGCGCTTTAAACAGAACCCTGAGACTATCAAAGAGCAGGTGCATTTATACGGAGACTTGATTACACACAGGTGCATTCTATTTATCATCATCAGTCATTTAGGACAACATTGGATCATTCAAAGATCCTCACTGAACTTCTGGAGTGAGTTTGCTGCACTGAAAGTAAAGGGGCCGAATAATATTGCACGCCACACTTTTCAGTTTTTTATTTAACATTTTTTAAATTATCCAATAAATGTTGTTCCACTTCACGATTGTGTTCCACTTGTTGTTGATTCATGACAAAAAATTAAACTGTTATATCTTTACGTTTGAAGCCTGAAATCTGGCAAAATGTTGAAAGGTTCAAGGGGGCCGAATACTTTCGCAAGGCACTGTATGTGTTTTCTTTGGGTAAAAAGCTGCAGTTATTTTTTAATCCTAACCTTTGAATGAAGAAGGAAATAAATGCAGGCAGAAAATAATAAGGCTTTATTATTTTGTGTTGAACCAAAAACGTTGCACAATAATTAGATAATAGATTATATAGATAATAATAATAGATAGATAATTAGATTAATATTATATTTTATTATATAAACTAATATATAAATATAATAATATATTATTAGAATCTGATCTGAAATATCTGTCATCACTCTGATATGAGAGATTGTCCAGTTTGACCAACCCACATCTGGGCCACACACTCTGGGAATCGAACCCAGGACACAAACGCTAATCCTGTACATGTATCTGTAAGGTGTACAAACCATTTCTGGGTTGAGCACCAGACCCTCACTGATCCTCCTGCATGTGATGAGTCCACAGGAGGATTGATTTTTTGGCGGGGGCTTCAGGCAAGTGCCTTGCCCAAGGACCCTTGAGTCTTGAGGTGGGCTCGAACCATTATATATTATTTTGTATTATTATAAATAAGTTTGATCTATAAGTCTATATATTTGATCCTTTGGTTCTTATAGACAATGATCTAAAAGGGATCATTTTCCCTTGAGAATCGTGCAAAATTGGTGAGTCATTTATGTTTTTATCTCTTTAAATTATCATATATTATTATATATTATGATGTTAAAATCAGTCACATAATCTGAGACATATCAACTGTTGAGCCTGTTAATGTCGTTCATCTGTAAATAAGTAAATACTAAAACCATGTGCAATGTGCAAAACTGAAACTTCAGAAAGTCCACTGAACAGTGTCACTTTTCTTTTTCTACTTATTATCCTCTATTTATAATATATAACTCCACGCACATATATAATATATATATATATATATATATATATATATATATATATATATATATATATATTATATATATTTATTTAAACTGGTATATATATAAACTGGTATTGAAGCATTTACAGCTAGCTAAGAAACATAGCTACTACTTTGTTATATATTTTGTGTGCTCCCTGTGTGTTCTTACTGCTGTCCTGTTTGTGCGCTGCAACATTGAAATTTCCCCACTGTGGGACAAATAAAGGATCTTTTATCTTATATTATTAAGTCAAAAAACGTTAGAATAAAAACAGAACTCTGGGTTTAGACTGCAGCATACTTCATTCTATTGTTACATCAGACACATGTACTTCTTGTAAGGAGTCAGATAATAAATGCTGGTAATAATGTCAGAGCCTGGCGTGGCACTCGCCAGGCCAGGCTCTGACACGCGCCGCCCTCTACAGGCGCCCGTCAGTACTGCACCCTCTCTCCTGTCCCTGAATCTCTTTCTGCACTTTTACTTTACACAACGATGCAGCAGCTGTTCCACTCTGTTAGTTTTTAGGAAGCGCGTTGGGAAACATTCACCCGCTACACACACCACTCATTTCCTTTTGTGTTGTTTTTGTGTAAAGTTTAACTGCGCTGAACTGGACACAGTGATTAATGATTCTGTGGAAGTGTGCCCTGCTCTGGACGCACCGGGTCAGTCCAGGAGCGTTCATGAGAAACTGGACTGACGTGTGTGTGTGTGTGTGTGTGAGAGAATCTGTATCTTCTGCACATATGTCGTGACGTAAGCCGGAGGAGGGGCCGTCCTCTCGGGGATATAAAGTACGCGCTCTCTTCTTTTCAGACAGAACCGCTCAGAGAAACAGAGACAGCTACAATCTTTATAACATCGGTAACTTCGCTCCAGTTACTTTGATCCTTGTGTTACTTTGTTCCTCATTGCTTCAGAATGATTAAGAAGATGTCCCCCTCTGAGAGTGACTTTGACATTCCTCCTAAGAACTGCTACCGGATGGTGATCCTGGGCTCCACTAAAGTCGGGAAAACCGCGATCGTGTCCCGGTTCTTGAACGGGAGGTTCGAGGAGCAGTACACACCGACCATCGAGGACTTCCACCGGAAACTGTACAGCATCAGAGGACATGTGTATCAGCTGGACATTCTGGACACATCTGGGAACCACCCGTTTCCCGCCATGAGGAGACTGTCCATCCTCACAGGTGTGTAGTGTGTAGTGCAACCTCTGTGTGTTTGTGTTTCCGTTGTCTTGTAGTGAAGTAGGTTTAAAGTCATGCATCATCAATAACCTAAACTCACGGGATGAAGAATGGGAAAAGTTTTCAATAATTGTAAAGAAATGTTTCCAAGTGTCTCCGGCGGAGGCTACAGTGTGACTGACTTTAAGGATTAAAGTTACTTTTTTATTGTCTTTTTTTTACCTTCATTATGACACTTGTTGTTATCCCACTGCTCATAACATAATATTAAAGTATAATATAAAAGTGTTATGTAACAACTAATTGTTAATGTTTCCTATAGTAAACATAGATTAAACTTATAGTCTGTTGTTTTGTGTCATGCTTAGTCATCTAAAAAAATGAAGATTGTAACCATGGTAACATCAATGGCAATAGTCTAATGCGAGTGACATGAGGCTAAACTATACAAAACAAGGACATGAAGATTGTCAATTTTCCATTCAGTAATTATTCAGCCAATTGAAGTTTATTTGTATAGCACAATTTGTACAAATGGTTTGACAGAGATAACTCAAAGCAGATCTGACAGAATAGAATAGAATAGTTGGATAATTACTAGGATACATTTACAGTATTATCTGTAGCCTTCAGTTGTATTATTATGTGTAACCCTCTTGAACCGCACTGACCACTGACCGTGTCTGTCCTGGTCTCCTGCAGGTGACGTGTTCATCCTGGTCTTCAGTCTGGACAACAGAGACTCGTTCCAGGAGGTGCAGCGTCTGAAGCGTCAGATCTATGAGACAAAGTCCTGCCTCAAGAACAAAATAAAGGAGAACATTGATATCCCGCTGGTCATCTGCGGCAACAAGGGCGACCGGCAGTTCAACCGCGAGGTCCAGCCGGAGGAGATCCAGCAGCTGGTGGCGGGTGATGCCCAATGCGCGTACTTTGAGATCTCGGCCAAACGAAACGAGAACGTGGACCAGATGTTTCAGACTCTGTTCACGTTGGCGAAGCTGCCAAATGAGATGAGCCCAGACCTGCACCGAAAGGTGTCGGCGCAGTACTGCGACATGCTGCACCGGAAGTCTCTGAAGAACAAGAAGCTTAAAGACATCGGCGAGGCCTACGGCGTGGTCACGCCGAGCGCACGCCGCCCCAGCGTGCACAGTGACCTCATGTACATCAAAGAGAAGGCCGTAGGGGGCGGGCAGGGCAAGGAGAGGTGTGTGATCAGCTAAAGCACAGTCAGATACATGTGGTTACAGCACACGGTCAGCGGGGGGCGCTGACTCCAATGAAGCGTGTTTCCTGACGCCTGTAGCGTCGGTGAAGAACACTGGCTTTAACAAAACACACAAAGAAACCAGCTCAGTCCAGACTCTGACGCCTCAGACTCTGAGCCTCAGAGCTCAACCCTTGTGGGTTCTAGATCGTGAGTGGTGCTGACGTGTTGAGGACGTGTTGAGGACGTGTTGAGGACGTGTTCAGGACGTGTTCAGGACGTGTTGACGACGTGTTGACGACGTATTGACGTTGTGTTGATGACGTGTAGACGTTGTGTTGACGCTGAACGAGAGCAAAAGAGACAGAAGGAAAAACGGAAACTGTGAAGAGGAAAACAAGCTGTTTACATTTTTGTTCATGGACTTTCATTGGTCGGTTACACTTGAATGTCTTTGAAACTGTTTTTTAACGTGAATGTATATTTATTGTTGTTAAAATAAATATGTGATTTTGAATGCATTTTGACTGCAGTGTTTTTCCTGACACACATACTTCTCATATAATTCATTTTGTTCCTCATAGAACATAATATATTCATCAGTGGCCACTGCTACACATCACACAACAAATCACACACCACACAACTAATTTCCCTGAGCTAGCCAAAACATTGCATCACCTCGTGTCCAAGCACAGACAGAACATGTTCTGTGAGTGTTATGTGTGTGTGTGTTATTCAGAGCAGCCGCTAATCTCCACCTTTGCACAGCGTCTTGTTCCCCCTGTGACGTGAACCTCGCTGTCTCCAATCACCGGTCTGTCTTCACAGGAACATCTCGTCTAATGCACACTGCTCTGGTACCTGTGCTCCGCTAAAGCACTACACTGCTCTGGTACCTGTGCTCCGCTAAAGCACTACACTGCTCCACTTGTGCTCCACTAAAGCACTAAGCTTCTCTGTAAAGAGGAACAAAACTGGCTAAATAATTATGTATATCAATATCATGTATATCAATGAATTGTAATGTTTACTTAATTTGCAAACAAATGCACATATATATTTTATATTTCTTTATTAATTGGTTATGGCGTTCCAGTGGCTTAGTTGGTAGAGCATTGGCCTTTGAGCCTGAAGGTCGTGGGTTTGAGTCCACCATGAGACCTACTTCACGACTCCCACTGATGTCTGCTATCGTTGTGTCCTTGGGCAAGACACTTAACCCCACTTTGCCTGAAGCCCCTGCTGGAAGATCAAGGCTCCTGTCGACTGTAAGTAAGTAATCTTTAGTAATATACCGCCTTTTCACTGCAGATCTGAGTCTCAAAGCAGTTTACAATTGTTAATTTTTGGGCATTTGTCTCTCAGAGATGGGAGCGGGGTCGCCAGTACAAGAGGTGCATGCTAGAACTATTGGACATATTTTTAGTGGTAGGGGAAACCGGAGTACCCGGAGGAAACCTACGCAGACACGGGGAGAACATGCAAACTCCACTCAGAAAGGCCCTGGTCCGACCGGGATTCGAACCCAGGACCTTCTTGCTGAGAGGCGAGAGTGCTATCCACTCAGCCACCGTGCCGCCTAAACTGCCACCCCCACGGTGGACTGCCACCCCCACGGCCCAGAAATGGATTAAGGGGAAGTGAATGGTTGGATGGTTATGGCGTTCCATGTAGGCCTTCGCTGCCAGCATCCGTGCAGTTATGTGTTGGATCGTCTCAGGTCCTCTTTTGCACAACCGACACCTTGGGTCTTGTCTGGTGTGGTATTTCTGGGCCCCGGCCTCTATCGCTCTGGTGCTCTGGCCTGCTCCTGTGCAGCCATGATGAGTGCCTCTGTGCTGTCCTGTAGGCCAGCCCTTTCTAGCCATTGTTAGAACGTTTTGAGATCAGCCACTTCTTCTATGCTCTGTGTAGGAGCTTGTCCTCCCATGGTGGGCTCTCCTCCTGCTGTGCTCATGAATTGTTCTATGTGCCCACTCATCTTAGCCGCAATGATCCCTGACATGAGCTTCATTCTCTGCATGTAACCTCTTTGGCCGGAGTTACTTGAGTAGTAGCATTCCAACACAACCAACAGAACAACAGAACTCTTTAATGTAAAACAGAAACATTCATAATATTTTTATTGTTCTTTTATTGAAAGTCTTCTCAACTTTTCTTTTATCTGTTGGTTCCAAAGCCTGACACTGAAGGACAGAAGCAAGTTACAGTGAGAGTGTTGTGAGAACTTGCCCTATAATCAGTCAATGTAGGATCGCTGACTTTGTAAAGATGCCTTCAGGGGGTCGTTTTTATGCCCCTGTGTGGAAAACAAACCATTTTTCCAATACTTTTGTGCCCTAAAACGGTCTAACTCTGGTAGAGGTGTCTGACATTGTTGTTTTTCACTTGTATTGTAACCTGCTGCTGTGTGAACTGTGAGACTCACTGTGTGTTTGTGGAGAGTCTGTGTGTTCTGCTTTGAGAATATACAGCAAAGGAATCGCCCTTTGGGATCAATAAAGTTTTCTGAATTTGAATCTGAGCCCTGTTCTCGCATCTCGCCCACTTTCGCCTTGTTCCAGTAGACCACTTCTCATCAAGGTGCTCTGGTTCCCCAGCACCTGACGCAGACCTTGTTTGGCATCTCATTGCTTATTTGTACCTTCATGGTTATGAGTTAGGCGTTAGCATAAAGGGTCTTGCCCAATGACCCACACTGGATGTTGGTGTTATTGCGAGCAAGGGACCAATACACAATTTCCTTTGGAATCAATAAAGTATTATCTATTGTGCTCCCGGATGGGATTTGAACCAGGCACATGAGCACGCTGACACGCCAGGCACATGAGCACGCCAACACACCAGGCGCTTGTCAACCCAAAGTATGACTCACATTTTATTATTATCATGCGTCTTATTCCTGAGACAATGATGACATCAGCAGCAGTGAGGGCTGATGCTTATGAAACTATGTGGCTACGTTTTATTATTCTTCTTTAAAATGTTCCATGTTCAAAAATACACTAGAAGCACATAAGAGAGTTTATTTAGTAATTTGTGAAATACTCATGAGTCATCCTCATTCAGGCTTTGATGTATTTTTTGTGAACACTCAAAACAACTAATCTGTCCTCTTTGCTCTTTCTGGTCTCTCTCTGGTCTCTCTCTGCTCTGTCTGGTCTCTCTTTGCTCTTTCTGGTTTCGCCCTGGTTTCTGTATGGTCTCTCTCTGTCTGGTTTCTCTCTGCTCTGTCTGGTCTCTCTGCTCATTTTTTTTTTTTTTCTGATTTTCTTTTCAATGATAAAATCAACATGTGGAAACATGATTCCATCTAACAATTAAGATTCCCCTCTAGTGGAACACATATTGTTCCTGACGATTTTGAATAATCCAGGATACCTTGGAATCATATAGACATATACATTATTACAGCATCTAAGATGTGATGGTACATTCTGTGATGGAACAGTCTGTGATGGTACAGTCTGTGATGGTTCATTCTGTGATGGAACAGTCTGTGATGGAACAGTCTGTGATGGAACAGTCTATGATGGTAAAGGCAAGGCAAGGCAAGTTTATTTATATAGCACAATTCATACACAAGGCAATTCAAAGTGCTGAACAAAATAAGAAAGCATTAAAATCATAAATAATCACAGAACATTAAAAAGAAAGCAAAAAATATAAAATCCCTCAGTTGTATGCACAGCTAAACAGGACTGTCTTTAACCTGGTTTTAAACACTGTCATTGAGGAGGCCTGTCTCACATCTTCAGGAAGACTGTTCCAGATTTTAGCAGCATGAATCTGAAAAGCAGCCTCCCCATGTTTAGCCCTGACTCTGGGCACTAACAGGAGTCCAGTCCCTGTGCTCCTCAGAGTCCGGGCTGGTTCATATGGGACTAACATGTCACTAATATAGTTTGGTGCGAGGCCATGGAGAGACTTGTACACAAGCAGAGCTGTTTTAAAGTCTATTCTCTGAGCCACAGGAAGCCAGTGCAGAGACCTGAGAACTGGACTAATGTGGTCGTACTTCCTGGTTCTAGTCAGGACTCGAGCTGCTGCATTTTGAATGTACTGCAGCTGTTTTACAGCCTGTTTGGACAGACCTGTGAGCAGGCCATTGCAGTAGTCTAACCTACTGGAGACAAATGCATGGATAAGAATCTCCAAGTCTGCTTTAGACACTATGTTTTTGATCCTGGCAATGTTTTTTAGATGGTAAAAAGCTGCTGATGTTACTGATTTGATGTGGCTATTAAAATCTAAGTCTGAGTCCAGTATTACCCCTAGATTTCTGACCTTGTTTGAAGGTTTTAGGGAGAGAGACTGTAGGTGACAGATGACGCTCTCTCTTTGTTTCTGGGGACCAAAGACAATCATTTCAGTTTTGTCTGCGTTTAGCTGAAGGAAGTTATTTTGCATCCACTCACTGATCTGTTGGATACAGTGAAGGAGTGAGTCCACTGGTCCATGTTCTCCTGCAGTCAGTGAGACATAGATCTGAGTGTCGTCTGCATAGTTGTGATAGGACACTTCGTTTCTGCGTATTAACTGACCTAACGGCAGCATGTAGAGATTGAACAGAAAAGGTCCCAGGATCGACCCCTGTGGTACTCCACAGGTCAGGGCCATATGATCTGAGACACAGTTTCCAATCTCCACAAAGTACTTCCTGTCTTCAAGGTAAGACCTAAACCAACTTAGGGCGGTGCCAGCGACGCCAACCCAGTCCTCTAATCTCTGTAAGAGGATATCATGGTCGACAGTGTCAAAGGCAGCACTCAGATCTAACAGGATTAAGATTGAGACTTTGCCTGCGTCAGTGTTCAGCCGGATATCATTTGTAACCTTAACGAGAGCAGTCTCAGTGCTGTGGTGGGGTCTAAAGCCGGACTGAAACATATCAAATGAGTTGTTGATTATAAGAAATCTAGTAAGCTGTAGGTAGACAACTTTCTCAAGGACTTTCCCCATAAATGGCAGATTTGAGATGGGACGATACTTGTTAAGTACAGTGGCATCCAGACTGCTCTATTTTACCAGGGGCCTGATGACTGCCTTTGGGAATATTCCAGAATGAAGGGACATGTTTACTATCTGTGTGAGTGAAAGTAACAGACTGCTCAGAACAGACTTCAGAAATCTAGTGGGTAGTACATCCAAGCTGCATGTGGAGGAGCTCAAACTGGAGATTATCTCTTGGACAGTTTGATCATTTACAGGTGCAAAGTGAGTTAGCTCAGAGATTCCTTTCTGGCTGTTGGATGGTTATCTGTGGATTGGAGACAATGGCGTTTTTGATGCCTTGAACCTTGTCATTGAAAAAAATAGCAAACTCATTGCATTTACGTTTGGAAGTAAGCTCTAATGGCATTTGAACAGGGGGGTTTGTTAATCTATTAACTGTTGAAAACAGAACACGCAGATTGTTGCTGCAGCCTTCACTCATTTCAGAAAAATACCTTTCTCTCGTACTACGTAGCACCCGGTTAAACTCGCACAACTTATCTTTGAAGATCTCGTAATCAACCTGGAGGTTGGACTTGCGCCACTTCCGCTCGGCCCTCCGGCACTTTCTCCTTTGTGCCCTGACCGAGTCTGCTTTAGCCCACGGCGCCTTCTGCTTATTTTTCACTATTTAAACCTTCACAGGGGCAACGGTATTCAGAACATTCAAAACACTAGAGGTGACAGAGTTAAACAGTTCATCTACAGTAGAACACGATGCATTCTCAAAGTTTATCATCCCCATAAATAGATCACTCGTATTTTCATTTATGCGCCTTCTTCGAACAGTTGCAGAG